GAAGGCCCTCAGCCCTTAAAGGGGAAAGGTTGCCTACCCCTGATATAGAGAATATTCTTTAAGAGCATATGCAGATGATCTTATAATATTCTTAGAAGACCCATTGAACAGTATCGACAAACTGATGAATACTCTATCAGATTTCGGGAAAATAGCAGGCTTTAAAATCGATAATGAAAAATCAGTGTTTATAACAACAAATATGACCACGGAAGAAAAAATCATACTGCAAGGAAAATCCAAATGTAAAATAACCAAAAAAGCCAAATACCTTGGTAATTGGCGAACAAATAAGAATACTGATTTATTCGACAACAATTATAAAACAATGTGAAAATCAGTACAACAAGATCTACGAAGGTGGTCAAAGCTAAAATTATCTTTCCTTTGGAAAATAGCCGCAATCAAAATGTCAATACTACCTAAATTTAACTTTCTTTTTTCAAACCTTCCAATAATAACCAACAGCAAACCTTTCAATGATTGAAACAAAAAACTCAAAAAATTAATATGGAAAGGCAAGAAGCCAAGGGTGAAGTGGAAGACATTAACAGATGTACGATTAAATGGAGGTTGCAATCTACCAGACCTGTACTTGTACTACCAAGCTAACACCTTCGTTTATCTTTCAGAATGGATCAAGCTCAACAATCCAAAACTTCTAAACCTCAAGGGATGCAATTTACGGTACAGGTGGCATGCTTACCTCTGGTATGGGAAAAATAAGATACACAAAAACTTTGAGCACCACTTTATCTGAAAGTTTATTCTTGCTGTATGGGAAAAAATAAGACCAATTTTCTACTCCAAGCTACCAGGATGGCTATCTCCCTAAGAAGCGCTCTCTGAAAGAACAAAAATAAATTTGAGATGGCTTAGGTACTATTATATTCTTAAAAAAAAGATAATCACCAAGAATACATAATGAAAACAATGGATGAAATCACAGAATTTGACTCGAAAAATCACTGGCTAGTCTACCACCAATTGACCAAAAGATATAAAACAGACAGAAAGGAAATCGGTTTTGACATCCAAAAGAACGAATTAGATGAAATATTAGAAAAGAAAATTGAAAATCAAGTAGCAAAAAATTATACGATACTTCTTAACAGAAACCAAGAGCAAGAAGTAGTTAAAGGAGAAATGATAAAATGGGCAAGAGATATTGGAAGAAGTATAGACCTTGAGAGTTGGTCATATTCCAGGAAGAAAACATTTCAATTTACCAAATGCCAGACAGTTAGAGAAAACTACTTAAAAAAGGCCTATAGATGGCATCTAACTCCATCTAAGCTCACTATAATTTATAAAAATAAGAAAACAAATGCTGGAAGTGCAACAAAGCAGTAGGCAACTGGATACATATGTGGTGGCAATGCCCTGAGATTAAGAAACTATGGGAAGAAATTCATTCAGAAATCAACAAAATTCTAGATATAAAATATCAATTGTTACCCAAAATTTACCTCTTAAATATGACCAATAAGATATCAGACGTAGAAGCAAAAAAATCATTGGAAAACATTGTTATACATGATCACCTCACCTAGAACTCTCATCGCCCAGAAATGGAAGACGAAAGAAATACCAACAATAGAGGAATGGCTATTGAAAACTCTAGATAATATAGAACTAGACAGACTGACAAACTTGGCAGAGAGAAGGGCCATAAAAACATCAGATACAGACTAGAAGAAATTTAAAAAATATTGTGTAAATCTTTGGCCAAAAAAATACAAATTCATAAAACTCAGATACAGTTCAAGATTACTGTAAGCTTGAAAAGACTAAAATCACACATACTTAAAAACAATATTAAGAGGGAATTGTATCATAAGTCTTTTTTATTTACTCAAAACCAGCTGATTGGATAAGAAGTTCATAAATCATGCTTTATGTTGGTTTAAAGCAACAAAAATGACGAAGAAATGTCATTTTTTAAGATGTATCTTTTTGATATTGTGGAAAATTTTTAAAAAAATTCTCCACCCCCCAAAAATTGAAAAAGCAAACCTTGATTTTGCCATTTTATATAAGGGACCATTTTACTACACCATTCTATATAATGGAACTTGAGCATCCATAGACTTTGGCCTCCATGGAGGTCCTGGAACTAAAACCCAGTGGGGCCACTATAGTTGAGCAAGTCTCCACTGAGCCCCTTGCTTTCTAGAAATACGGAATGATGCAGATGTTATAGTTTTTTGTGGGTTTTTCGGGCTGTGTGGCCATGTTCTAGA